CTCACCCATGTGGTAGCAATTCCCTGGCCCCGGCTGCTCAGGCATAGGAACTGCTTCTTGGGAGACTGTGTCAGAGAAGAGGTTTCAGCAACTTCCCAACTGCTCCCACCCAAACCTAGGAATCACTTTTCTCTTCTTTTTGCTCCTCAGTATCCATCCATGGTACCTTCTATGGAAGCCAGCAATTCTTTTCATCACACACCCACATCAGTCTACTTCTGTGGTGGCCACTTCCATCCCCACCCTAGCCAAGATCACCTTCTTCTTGGATTCTGTCCTCAGCTCCTAACTCCTCTTGGTTTCCATTCTTGGTTCCCACCTCCTCCCGGTTTGTTACTCACAAAATAGCAGCAGTGTTGAAAGCACAAAAACCAGAAAAGCACTGTGTATGAGCTCATGTCTGTCTCCTGTTTGACAACACAGAGAACTCAGGCTAGAATCTGACTCCTCCAGGCTATGAGCCCTACACGAGTCTCCTGGTCCACAAAGGCCACGCCATGCCGACCTACAGGTGCTTTGACTACAGTAAGTTCACTCCTGCTGTAGGTCCCTCTCAGCCTGGATTACTCATCCCCTTATTTTAGCACGCTGCTGCTTTCTTGTCATTCAGGCCTTGTAAAGGGCCTCATCTCACAGAGGCCTCCCCTGAGCACTCAAGTCAAAGCCAACACCCAGTCCTTTTCCATCACACCCTCCTGTCTAACTCCTGTCTCATAGGTATTGGTTCATTACCTCACCAGTCATCGCCATCTACTGATATCTTCCTGTGCCAGCTGGGTGAGGCGTGTGTCCTCCCTGAACAATGCCTACATCCCTCAATAACATGGAAGCCCATGAGCATGGCCTCAGCTACAGCCTCCATGCCTGACACAGAAGAGGCAACTGATAATATTTGAATAAGAATGAATGAATAAAGAGCAAAAAGGTGGGCTGGGGTATAAGCACCTCCCTGGCAAGCACAAGATCGTGAGTTTGATCCCCAGTACCAAAAAAACAAAAAACAAGCCAATAAGGTGATGTATACTCAGGAAATCAGAACTGGCCAGTATCACTTCTTGATTTGCATTCATGGCTTTCAGGCAGCCCATATTCCAAAGCAGCCCCAGTGCTGCAATAAATCATTCCCTGGCTGAGTTTTTCTGGGTCAGCCATGACTCTATTTGAGTGTCTAGCTAGGATTTATAAAGGTCCTAGTGTGTACAGGTCTGTGCTCAGTGTCCACCTCTGTCCTTCCCAGCCAACCCAGTACTAGCATGCCGAGGCCAGCCATGAATAGGTGGCCTGCCCTGTCCTAGCCAATGACCAACTGGCCCAAGGTGCAGCTAAGCGGCTGGTCTCCTCCCACACTTGTAACCCTTCTTTCCAGGTTTCTTAAATATCCAGAGGTTCAGTGTGGCACCCAGGCAGCCAGCCAGGCTCTGTGCCAACCTTAGCTCTCAGCCTCAGCTCTCTAGCCCCATTTCCCAAATAGGTATGTGCCTGTTTGTCCCCACTTATGCCCAGCCTGCTGTCACAGGTGGCTACCATTACAAGCCATTCACACAGTGGCCCAGCAGGCCAGGGAGTCCATCAGGGTTGTGTTGCTAGTTACCAGCTCTGGAATCTTGGACCAAGAGGTTACTCTGTCTCCTGGAACTTCCGTTTCCTCCTTTGTAAACAAGGACTGTAAAGGCACTGGCCTTTTTGGGTCCCTTGAGTGTCTTGTGCTCCTCCCTGCTCTGTGAGCCCACAAATTCTCACCAGTCTCATTCAAGGGACAAGAAACAGCTTTTTGGCAATGATTCTATGGCTAATCTCATTACCAGAAATTAGAAGGTTGAAATTCAAAACAAAAAATGTACAGCTCAAGCAATAGATCTACGCCGAGTGGGCACAAAGGATACAAATAAAAATCAGATACCACAAAGGCACGTGGTCAAAGGGGAGGCAGCTATAAACAGCCCAGCACACAGATGAGCGTCCACCTGCCAGTGCCCAAGCACAGACAGTCCCTTCCACTGGGGCCACTGCATGATGAGGAAAATGAATTTTATCCCCTTATTTTCCAAATGCTTGGTGTGAAGTGCTGTTCTTGGATTAACAAGACAAGTGGATGACGGGGGCATCTGAACTGAAACACAACAGTGGTGGGTTCACCAAGAATCAACCCCTCATGCACACTACAGACCTGACACATCCCTTCCTCCTCTGCCATTCTTATGCCCTAGAGTGCTGCATCTTCCCACTTTCTGCTCAAATGAATGGCCCTTGTAACCAGGGGCGCAGTCCAGTTCCCACCCTTATGAGACAATATAGAGGTTTCTCAGAATAAAGAACAGGGGCTGGACTTGGTGGCACATGCCTGCAGTTCCAGTGCTGAGGAGGCTGGGAAAGGAGGATCACCATGAGTTTGAGGCCAGCCTGGGCTACATAGTATCAGTTCAAGGCAACCCTAAATTACATAGCGAGACCTTGTCTCAAATAAATAAATAAATAAATAAATAAATAAATAAATCTAATAACTAGGATGTGTTGTTGCTCTGAGCCCCTGATCTTTGGCGACATGTAACCCCAGTGCCTTGGCATCTCCAAGGTCACCCCCCTCAGTTTAATGTCCCTAAGGTGGCAGAGATGGCAGAAAATGGACAGTAACAAAAGCCACGACTTGGACTAAGACACAAAGGAGAGGTCTGGCTACAGTTCTCTGGCTCACTGGCCACATATCCCCCCCCCCCCCGAGGCTGTCCTCTAACTTTTCCCTCTGCTGCCCTGTAACAGTCAGGTGCTGGCCAATAGCCCCAGCCAAGATGGGCCTGAAGGCCTAGAAGGCACCAAGAGTCCACTGTTAGCATCTTCGAAGTCCCTAATGCAGCACTTTGATATGTGAGTGAAAGAATTTTTATTAAAAATAAAAATGTCGCTGCTATTGTTTTGAGTGGCTGGTGGTAGGCTGGAATTGAAATCTTGTTCAGATCAGTATGGTATGGGTGTTCAGAAACTCTACAGCTAGGCTGCTTGGGTAAATCCCAGCTCTGCCTCTTAGCTGTGGGGCCCTGCAGAGATCACTTTACCTCCCTGTGCCTCTCTTTCCTCATCTCTGAATAACACAGGATCTGCCTCTGTGGAGGGCTGTAGGGCCTGAACAAGCTAACATACATGAAGCATTTGGAGCAGAAGGCTGCGTGTTTTTATTCTGGCGAATCCAAAAGGGAGAATGCTGAGCCACAGGGCCTGGCGGGAACTGGAGAGGGGCCTATGCCTTCCATCAGATCCTGAGTGGGTGTTCTATTCCAGTTCCCTGAAGCGCTACAGGAGGTTTTTCCCTTGCAGTCAAGTTCCACCAACAGCAGTGAAGACTCAGCCACCTTAAACAGGGCTCATTATGTCAAACAGTCGTGGTAGTACTGCTGTGACCTGGTGCTGTTCCAGTGTTTTCCCTTTGGAAAACACCATCCACATCTTCACCCGTGGGCCCTGTGTGTCCCTGGGCAGTTCATGTCTCCTATACAGGGCCTTTAGACAGCCCTAGCTGCTTGCGCTGATTAATCCCTCCCACACTCACCCTCATGGACTGTGCAGCTTTCAGGGGTCCCTAGGAGTTACAGGATTGCTAACAGTAAGGTCTGTGCAGATGAGATGACTCAAAACTTAGTCCTCTAGCTCCTCATAGAGCTCCTAGCAGTCCAAGAAACAACAGCGGCAACTAAATAATGGAAAATTCATTTGAAAAAGAATCTCTAAGCAACTTTTAAAAAAAAGCTGCACTGCTCAGATGAACTTGGAATCATCGGGCTGGCAGCAACTGCAGAGACCAGAGGCTTCCAAACTCACTTTTATCTCCAAAGCCATTGTTCAGCTGCAGTTTGCCCAGAATCCAGTACACAAGATGGACATGAACAGGGTTCCTCTCGAAACAGCTTCTAGGCCGCTTGCATGGCCCCCTTTCTTTGCTCCCTCAGTCCTTGGTGGCCCCTAAGACACCTAGGTTAGAACTGATGAAAACCTGCGAGTCTAAAACAGCCTCCCCAGTAGAGATGGAAACCAAGTCCCATAGAAGCCCCGCTCTGAATGGTGCCTGTATGCAAACCTAGGTTTCGAAATCCAGGCTAATGCCTCTTCCCCCACTCTTCCTGGGCACTGTAAAGAAACAAGGCTCGTTTCTGATCACCTACATCATAATCCTTAAATATTTTAAAGGACCCTAAACCAGCCAAGCAGGAAACAGCCCAGCTCGATAGACTGGCAAGAAAGAAGGTCGGAAATGAGTCGTACAGGCACATCTGACAATTCCATACAATTTCCATCAGCTCTGGGACATAAACAGTTCTTGAAAGACCTGGGCTGTGTGGCTGTGAAAGACCTGGCCGGGGCAGGCCAGGAGGTGAATGCTAATGAGGTATGGAAATAGCAATTACTTTCCCCGTGTCAGGCATAGAGCCAAACTAAGGAGAATAAAGAGGTCTGAGATATTTTTAAAGTACTTTTACAGCAGAAAAATTTTCCTTCAGACTCAATTATATAACTATCAGACTCCACCTCTGAGTTGAAATTATCCATGGTTTCAGGAAAAAATAAAGAAAGAAATAATTTTTTCCTACATGAGTGTCACAGATTTCTCCAGAGAAACTCGGAGCTATATGGCCAGTGACCCAGGGCAGCTGCAAACTGTCAGCCCAGAGATCTTCCCAAGGGCAGTTTGGAAGCTGCCAGAGACAAACACCGGCCAAGCAGAGGGCAGAAGTCATTCACTGACCCATCTGTGGTGACAGATGACGTTGTGGGGTTCAGAAGATCCCCTCGAGGGGCTTCCAGAGCTAGCCACATTGCCTCCCTCACTACCCCCTTGAACTCACTAGCCCTTGACGGGGCTGGAGTCACTAAAGTCAGGAGGAAGCCCAGGGAACGTTTCATTAACTTGAGGTAACTCCATCCTAAGCAGAGCACAGACAGTTGGAGAAAGCCCAGTGCTTAAACAAAACAGCAATAAAATCTGAGGGACAGACTTCGGGAGATTAACTTACAGCCCAGGTTTTTGTCAGCCTGAAGATGGGAGCACTTTGTAATGCTGACACCACAGACATGAGAGAATGAAGGTTATTGAGTTCTAGAAGTTTCTGGAAAAGAAAAGATATGGAATACATTATTTTGCTGCTATAAACAATAGAACAAAAACATGCTCAAGTGTTACCAAATGTGGTCATATTTATGAAACTCAATTACACTTAAAAATATCTCATGAAGAAAATATAGTTCTAGGCAGTTCATAGGAACCATATGTTCTTTTTCTTAAAAACTGTCAAAAGGTGAATGTGCATGTAAAGGACTTGCACAACTGTCTTGTCTGGTTGCTGGACAGAAACGTGGCTGGGGATAAGATCTGATAATCCCTTTCTGTTCCTTTTTAAGATGCATCTGAATCTTGTCTCAACAGGCTTCTGAAAGCTAAGACCCTCGCTGTGAGAACAGCATCAGGAGGTTCTACTGTGATCACCCTAATACCCAAGCAGGAGGAGGCAGGGAAGATGTTGTCAATCTGTGTGATCCCTCTCATCTGGCACGGCAAGACCCCAGCCTCCCCTTTGACCATGTTCCTTAGAACCATTCCCCAAATTAGTGGGAACATTTGGAGTCAATTCAGTGTCAGACAAGCTCCTTACCAGGAATGGCAACAGAATGAGACACAGAAGAGAGTAAGTGCAGAAAAATGTCCTCGGTTTGGTGCTAAGGGAAACTTGCTAACAGGACTGGGTCCCCTGTCCCACCTCCCCTCCTTGGGAGACAGAGAAGCCTGGGTTAGAGAGCAGGCTGCATGGAAACCAAGGCCCTGCTCCAAATTCAGCACACTACTTAAGCTTCCTTCAGCAAGTTACCTGGCCCTTTTGAGCCTGGGCATCCTCACAATTAAAAATGAAGAAGGTAACCACAGCACCGACACTTCACCAAACAGTGAGTGCAGTCTGGACCAGTGCCGGGGCCAGGGTGAGTGCTCAGTGGGAAACCAGCCGCAATCTTCTCTGGCTGGAAAATGAGTCGCCCTCTCTCCTACCCCTGGCCTCAGGCTAGGTTTAGATGTCACTTCCTCTAATATATTCTTCCCGACAATGTTCTAAATCCACAAAGGTCACGGACTCGCTTCTGGGTTTCCACAGTCTGTGTGTGCCCTTTGCAGTTGGGACTGTACTGGCTTTTTACTTGCCTATCACCCTGGACCTTGTGTCCCCTGAGAGCAGGGATGAAGTTTCAGCTACCACCATGTCCCTGATACCTAGTACTGTCCCCAGCACACAGTAGTTAAAATGAACAAACAAGTGAAAAGCCAGAAATGATGGGCCCTCATAGCTCTGTTCCTGCTCAGAAATTGCAGCCTGACCACACAAGTTAATGCGTATTTTCATGCATCTTGTAACAATCTCTAATTGCTTCCTATGTGTAAGAACAGATTGTCTAAGTAAGCTAAATTTCATTCTAGTGTCTGAGGTGCGGTGCCTGTCACAGAATTTCATTTTAGAGCTGAAAGGCCTCAGGAAGACTGGCCCACTCCTTCCTTTTGTGTATGTTAGTGTATGGACACATGAAGGACTGAACTCAGGACCTTTGCTACATCCCACCCATTCTGATTTTCTTCCAGTTTTGAGACCAGGCCTCACTAAGTTTCCCAGGTTGGGCTTGAACTCATGAGCCTCCTGCCTCAGCCTCCCGAGTTCTAGGATTACAGGTGTGCACACCTTGCCAGCTGCCTTCTATTTTATTGATGGGTAGGAAAACCAAGGCCAGAGAAGGCAAGGGGCTCTTCCTGAGATATGCCCAGAGCACAGGGCCAGCATAACATTTACAGTAGGAAAAAGGCGGGAATGAAGGAGGGATCATTAGGACTCCTTGGGTGAGAGCCATAAACTTGTTTCCAAACTGCAAGCTGTGGAGCACCAGAACCACATCCTACCTTCTCTTTTGGCCTAGCATCAAACTGACCCCACAGCAGTAACTGTCAATAAGCCCAGCACCAGCTTCAAGTACCCCATGAGAACATGAGGGACACAACCATAACCACTGTTTCTACCATGTTTATAGAGGGCTGCTTTTAACCTCCTGGGAGGGCAGCAGAGGCATGGCTTTAATTCCCACCCTGCACAGGTAGCTGTGGGCTACATGGATGGTTCTCTCTAGGCCTCCCCTTTGTCTCTACCACTGGGACAAAACTCTGTGGCACCAAATGCAGTCACATTAGTAAAGCAGTGGGGTTCTGAAGCGTCTCAGCCCAGGGCTGCTTTCCAAGGCTCTGGGTTGGAAAACAATACATGCACACATGAAGCAAGCAGGGAACCAGGCAGTGCAACCTTGCTGCAGAGTCTAGCAGGTCTAGTGGGAGCAGGAGATGCCTGACATGAGTGATCCAGGAAGCTATGGGCTGGCCTGGCCTGAACTGGAAGAGATGAGGACAGAGGGGATGGGAAAGGTGGGTCCAAGAAGCAGCAAGGACAGATGGACTCTATTAGGCCAGGGGGCAGGAGGAAGGGGTAGGGAGTCCTGAGGCCTTAGCTCAGGATGGGATGGGGTGGACTCTGCTGACAGGGACACAAATATGCAGGCTGTGATGAGATCACAAGTGCCAGAGCTAAAATAGGCATCCAAACTGTGGGGGGGGGGATACTGCTGCGAGAGCACACGCAGACCATCAGGCTGTGTGCAGCTGGGCGCTGGCTCTGCCTGGGGAGGGGCCATAGCCCATACCCCATCTGAATCCTCAACAGCAGACCCAGACCAAAGTGCCTCCCAAGTACAAAAGAAACCCATTTTTGAGACAAAAAAAAAAAAAAAAAAAAAAAGAAAAAAGAAAGGGAAGAAAGGGGAAAGGAAGGCAAAATAATAAAACCGCTTACCTTGGCTATTTTCACAAAATGGCTCAGGATTTCTGCCCTTATTTTTAAAGTCTGTGCTGTTAGAATCTCTCGTACAACCCAAAAACTGACCTGCAGAGTTAAATACACACATGTCCACATACAGGCATTCACCAGAGAAGCTGTTAAATGATGGGCCCCTCCCACCCCCACCCACCGCTGAGGGATTTCCAAGGGTCTAGGAAACCATGAGAGTGTGGCCTGGTGTGGTCTGAAGCCAAGAGGCCAAGAGTTCCCTGTGGCTCCCATGCTGGATGAGCCTCCTGATTATAGTATCTGCTTCAGAATACACAGTGCTGATAGGCAATAGCATTTCATGGTCACACAGGGAGCACTGGGCCTCTGTGGCACATGGGTGTCTCTGAAAGTGCTGCAGGACACTGTGTAAAGAATCGGCCTGGACTCCCACTCAGAAGGACCAAGCCGGGGAGACAGTATGGATGACAGGAGGATGGCCAGGCAGATGGACGAACTGTCACAGGGATGTTCAGACTGAAGGAGCACCCATGAGGTCCATATCCCCAGCTGGGCTCTGGACAAACAGGGATTACCAATCTGTGCGCGATTGCAGGAAGTTTAATTATCTAAGAGTGGTTTGCCTTTATTCAATAATAAATTATACAAAAAGTGTCTTTCAAACTTCTGTACAGCAAAGCAGATTTGAGGCATGTTTTTCTGGAGACAGCGTGTGCCAAAAGGGAATGTCGGTAGCTCTGGGTCAGAAGCTCCCTCACGCTTGACCTCTCTTGTACATCAACAGCCCTGAGCCCCTGGCTCTGTTAATAGGAACAAGAAAGTCATCTGTCCCTGTAGGGCTGACTCACGGCACCTCAAGGAAAGACAGGAAAGGCTTGGCCAAGAAATGCTGGGAAATAGTTATCTCTTCATGCTTATGTCTCACTGCCATCACAACGGTTTTATGTGAAAAGCAAATGCCCGCGTGTTGTGACAGGGCTGCGAAGATGGTGGAGGGCAGGCCAAAGTACGGGGGCCTGCAGGGGAGGGCAGGCTTACACAGGAAAAATATACAAAAGCAGAAAAAGACAGCCCAGAGTCAACAAAGCAAGTTCATGTTGCTTTGTAATTGATATGTTCTTGTAACTGAAATACTGTCACTTTTTCAAAGAGAAAACAAGGAAAAAGAAACCAATAATTTACCTCTACTATTGAGCAGGAGTATTACTAAAATGTCTTTTCAGTGGAATTATCTGTGATTGCCTCTAGGACATGCCTGGGTTTCCATAGAATCATTTATTTCAAAGAATTGTCAAATAAGTTCAGACTCAAATGTTTACTAGCTAGTTATGGAAGAAAGCTTTTCTGGAAACCAAGCAGTAAGCTGTCAATCCTACATTTTAGTATGTGTACTTTTTAATGCTATATGATCTTATGTGTGACACTTTTATACATAATTGAATGCATTAATGTGTGCCAAAACCTCATAAAACTTTCTGGCATAATTATGGAAGGTGGCAGAGTTGAGTCTGGCTCTGCAGTCCACAGCATGCACAGGCATCTCAGAGAGCACAATTTGATGCAAAAGAGTTGCATGAGGTGCCCTTGGGTGCAGGTTCCAGATGATGCCTAAGACAGAGGTGAGAAGTGGAGAAGGCAGAACCCTCTGGAAACCTCTATTGGAAGGCAGCTGTGATCAGGGCCATAAATTCAAAGCATAAACTGGAGTTCACGTGACAGAAGAGCAGTGACAGAAGAGGGTGGCCCCGAAAGATGGGAAGACCTGACCCAGTAGGGCAGGACCGTGCTGTGACCGTATACGCCGGATCCAGGATGGCTGAAGCTGCCAGGGCTGTAGGAGTGACATGAGCAGACGATGATGGAGGGCAGATGCAGCTGGAGGAGAGAATGACCAGACTAGAGGGTATAGGGCAAAGTGAGAAGGGACTAAGATGCTACTCTAGGAGGGGGTCCAAGGACTTCCTAGGGGAATGCAAGCAAGACTTCCTGCCAGGCAGGGTCACACCATAGATACATGGTCTCAAACAGACCTGCAAGGCCAGGTGGGCCATAATGAAGGAGATGTAGAGAAGGGGCAGATGAAACAGACAGGATAAGGAGTTTGACACATCTTTATTCTCTTCCCTGACCAGGACACTTTACAGAAACTTATCATGGAAAACAAGGAAACAGAAATAAGAACAAAAACCAAAAATCATTTGTAATCTTGGTCTCATGTACACCACTGTGGTAAACAGTGTGGTATGCAATCTTCCAGGCTTTTTACCCTGTATACAGACTATATGGCTGTTTTTAAAATTAAACTGGTCTGTATTAATCATATCTCAAATAGTCTTTTTAGTAAGTATTCTTCAAAAGTTTTTCAGCTTTTAGGGATTTCATCACAGAAGTGTGTCACTGTGATGGAAGCAGCCCTGTTGTTGGATAGGCTTTTATAACTGTTCTGCTGTGATTACTAAAGCTGTGGTGGACATCTTTACTCACATAACTTTGTACACTTTTTACTAAGGTTTAGGACAAATCCCAGAAGATAGAGTGAACAAAAGTGTGTGTACCTTTCTTCAAAAGTATATGTAAAGAACTTGCCCTCCAGAAGATGTTTATCCATCAACAAGTTTAAGCAGATCTGCGTTTTTAGACATAGACCTACACTAGTTATTAAAATTCCTTTCTGATTTATCAATGGGTAGAACAGTATCTCACGGCTTCCATTTTGCATTTCTTTCATGATCACCAAATCATTTTTTGTTTTGCTCTTTTTTTCTCAGTTAACATATCCTGTTTCAAATATTTATAGGCCACTTGTCACTTGCAGTGTTCGCCTTGCAATTGTCTGCTCGGGTCTCCATCCATCTTCCCATTGGAACATCTCTGTTCTTTGTACTGTTTGATAAAAGCTTGCTGCATACTAAAGGATACGTATTTTGTGAACCATAATTTGTATCAAGTGTAGAGATATGAAGACTCTTGGATACTGCTTGTGGGAATAAAACAATACAAACATTTTGAAGAAAAATGTGAATATATGTTTCAAGATACTTAAGGTATATTTTTGATAAAATATTTACCTTATAAAAGGCCAGAATTATGGAAACATATGTATAAGGACTCAGAAAACTGCTTATGAAAGTGAAAAATAGGAAAAACGCCCGTCAATAGGAAACTAGTTACATATATTGTAATACTGCCTCATACACTATAAGGAAGTCACATGCTTAGCCCACACTGTAACAGCCAGCATTTTGCTCTACCTTCTTAAGTATCTACATAAATTATTTGAAAGTCTTCTGCCTGGCACATTTATCTATTCTCCATTTATTTTATATCAATATGAACCCATGGATATTTATATTGTATTTTGGATTATAATCCAGTCCTATGTTGTCTTGTTGTCAAATAGTTCCTACTTTGGCCTTGACTGCAAGCTCTTTTAGGGGGCCCTGCAGCCCTCTGACATTCCCAGCACTGTTCTGGTTGGTCAGTGTGAGCACTTCCTTTCTGGCACTACAATATGCTACATGCTCATCTCATGGCATTTCTTACCCCAACCCTAGAATCCAAGATGTGCATCCAACAGGTGCTAAGCATGCTTGTTGCTCTTGGAGTATCACTGTTACTAGTCTGCTGACTGAGAGACAGAGAAAAAGACAGAGATAGAGACAGAAATAGAGACAGAGATAGAGACAGAGACAGACAGAGACAGAGGAGCGGGAGGAGAGAGGGATAAAACTAACCTATGTATCTATAAATATTTTTCACTGTGATCATTACGCTAACTATAACAAGCTGCTATCTCCTGTTCCAATTTGTTCCAGTATGGATCATTCTAACCTTGCTTGTCTAATTTCCCATTTCACCAGACAGAAACCAGCTTTCACCATCTGCCATCCATATCCTCAACTGCTCGGCTCCAGCATAAGCATGTCAGAACTGTTATTCATCCTCCTGGGAAACAGCTTTATCAGAAGAACACAGTGCTTGTGTGTAGCCCCATCTATTTTCACCTTACAGGCTCTAGTTTTTTTTTTTTTTTTTTGAAATTATTTAGTAAGTTTCCACCTCACCCTCTTCAGGGAAGTTGTTTCATACATTTAACAATTGTATAATTTTACATACAACACAATTAGCTTTCTTTTGAGAGCGCCTCTCAGTCTTTACGATGAATTTTTCTTAGTCTGCATACACTAAGGTTTTCTCTTGGTACTGTAAAGTTTTGCAGGTGTGCACAAATACATCATGTCTCTACCCATCATTATATTATCTTGCAGAATACCAGAATACTGTCACTGTCTCAAATAAAAAAATCTCCCATGCATCACCTAGTCAACCTCTTCCCCTGCCAGAATCCCTGAAAACCACTGTTTTCCCTATAGATTTACCTTTTCCAGAATGTCAGAGGAGGAAAATCCCTAGGCTGGGGATTTAGCTCAGCGGCATAAGTGCCTGGCTGGAAAGCACGAGGTGGTGAGTTCAATTTCAGGTACCGAAAAAAGAATCTTCCACAGGTAGACTTTTGCATCAGCTTTTTTCACTTACTATATGCTTTTAAGATTCACCTATAAACTTGTTAAACTCATTTTTAGATGGATACTATTACATTGCATGAATCTACCATAATTGGTTTATTCATTAACCTACTGAAAGACATCTCAGTCCTTCTATTTTTGATACTTATGAATAAAACTGCCATAAACATTTACGTGTTAACATGTGTGTATAAGTGTTCAAATCTGGAAAAATATTGGATCCTGTCTGTTCCATTCTGTGCCCCCACCAACAATCAAAGAATGAAAGTTTGTATTGCTCCAAATCATTGCCAACAATTAGCATTGTTAGCGTTCCTCTGTTTTAGACATTCTAATAGGTGGGTGGTGTTTTGCATGTTCCTGGTATAAGTGAGCATCTTTTTTTTTTTTTACAAGTAATACAAAATTTAAAAAATAAACAGTAAGAAATCACTAGTTAATAGATTACATATTCTCATCTTAGAAATAGTTGTTCAAGTTACAAAATTAAAGCATATAAAGTGGACTTTCAAACAGTGAGAGTGCAAACAGTTTTGTTCAATGATCAAAAAAAACACTCAGTAATATGGT